CACAGCTCTGTCTCCCAACCAAGGATAGATAAAAGAACCCTGATAAAAATGAACATCAATGGATTCTTGAACAGAAAGCACATACCCTTTAAGTATTACCACATTGTATCTGGGTGCAGTTTTATATTATATAATTGTAGGAGGAAATTGTGGGGAGGGTCAGGACAGTGCCAGGGCAACCAGAGAGACCTGAGTTTGGGGGCTGACCTTAGTGGCTGGGGTTTTAAGAACTTCATGCAAGAGTGGCTTCTCCCGTCTGCAGAGAACAGCAAAAATAGAAGTGATTACCTGGCCAGGCACTGGTGGCTCACGCCTGTAATCCGAGCTACTCAGGAGGCTGAGATGCAAGGATCGCGGTTCAAAGCCAGCCCAGGCAAGAAAGTCCGGGAGACTCCTATCGCCAATAAACTACTCAGAAAACTGGAAGTGGCGCTGTGGCTCAAGTGGTAGAGCACTCGCCTTGAGTTGAAGAGCTGAGGAACAGCGCCCAGGCCCAGAGTTCAAGCCCCACAACCAACAACAACAGAAAAAGAAGTGGTTACCTGGTTCTCGTCCTCCACACAGAATGTGTGAAAATGAAGACTTTAATTAGGGAACACAAGATTTGCCAGTCCAGAGCAGGTGAGAGTTGATGGATAAACCATATATGTTTCATAGTGTGGAAGTTTTATTTTCTGCTGTGAAATTGTAGGTGAGGTTCTGAAAACAACCAGGCCTTTGCTTTAATCAGGACTTTAAATTATCTTCTTGGGCCAGACACCATTGGCTCAGACCTGTAATCCTAACTATTCAGGAGGCTGAGATCTGAGGATTGTTGTTTGAAAACAGTCTGAGCAAAAAGTTGGTGAGACACATTTCCCTCTAATTAACCTGCAAAATGCTAAAAGTAGAGTTGTGGCTTAAGTACTAGAGTACCAGCCTCTTGTGAAAAAGAGCTAAACCAGAGCGTGAGGCCCTGAAATCAAGCCTCATTAGCATCATACACATACATGAATATATATTCTCTTGCAGGATCATTACTGAGAAACTCCAAACAGCCTTACTATCTTTACTTCAGTTTTGGAAAGTGATCACACAAGTCTTATCTTGGATCATATTTAGGTAATCACCTATTGTTCAGCTCTAATTATTAATAGTATCCTATTTCCTTCTCCCAATGATTTATGTTTACAGCTAAGGTCGTCTTTGCCACCTGACATTTTGCTTTCAAAACTATAGTAAAAGAGCCTGCATCTCCATGTAGCAGAGAGGCCATAAAACAAACGTTTCCCCAGTTGTTAAATGGCCTTTCTTTCTGACTTACACAGGGTCACAGCAGCCTGTCTCTTGGAACCCTGGTGTGTAATATACATCCCATACCAGATTCTTTTTGGATAGTTTTGTTGACTTATTTTCCAATGTTCTCACAGCTATCATTGCCTTTCAGAAAGTACATTTACGGACTTCAGCAAGCATTCATTATTTCATTGGTGTCCTGATGTCGTTATTTTAAGATACCTTTCTCATCACAGGATATAAGAAACAAAATTCAATACATATCTGGATAATTCCACTCAGTCTTGGTTATAGCCATGTGTTCTCCTTTGAAAACATAAAAAGGATGTTGACTGAAGTGAAATCATGAGAATGCTACTTAAAGTTACATTATCCAAATTAGTAATATGGCCTGGAAGTATGGCATAGTAGTAGAGTACCTGCTTAGTAGGCCTTGAGGCTCTGAATTCAAACCTCAGGACTAGTTAAAAAAAAAAAAAAAAAGGAACGCCTAATATCAGTTTAATTCTGTAATAGACCAGCTATAATTGAAAGATTACCTTTACAGTACTCTTTTACTACTTCATTGTCTTTTCAATGATTCTGTGTACATGTGTCTGTATGTGTGTAGGGGTGTGTGTGTGTGCATGTGTTCACGCTGAGTCATGAAATACATTATGTGGAGCCATTAATGAAGGGATAGCCTTTCACTTTTGCTCTTTGTAGTTGAAAATTTAGCTCCTTGGTATTCTTGTAGCTGTCTTTATATGACTGGAAGAAAAGTACAGTTCAAGTTCTTTCTTCTGTCCCAGTAAACCTCAGAGGATGGCACTAGGCAGATTAGATTGTGGTAACATTACTTAAAGTCAGAAATCAAATTAAATAAAATGAAACAATGAGCCTCTCATCCAAAGAGTGTTTCTTCTGGAAAGAAGAGTATCTTCTCAATAACAGTACTGACAATTCATCATCTTCTTGAGGTTCTGAGGTATCCAGTGTAGGTAGATTTAAGAATACAACTGGTGTTTCCCAAAGAACTATCTGTGAGAAGTTCTCAGCAGTATATGGGCCCTTCTTTAATTGTTTTCCATTCCTGTTCTGAAGGAAGAACAACACAAGTCCTAAAATTTTCAAGTATAAAATTTTCCCCATGGAATGGTCAAAAAGTTTGATCACTCAAGAGAGTATGTTTGGGGGCTGCCTGTGATATCACAGCCCTTTCATCCCAGCTAGGGTGGGAAGCTTAAAATAGGTGGATTACAGAGTAGGAGTGAGCCTGAGCAAAAAGCAAAATAACCATCTCAGAAAAGGGCTGGGAACTTGGCTCAAGTGGTAGAGTGTCAGTGGGAGGCCTTGAGTTCAAACCCTATTAATGGAGAGAAGGTGGGGAGGAGGGGGGAGAACAAAGCAACAACAAAAGTTGCCAGGCAACGGTGGCTCACACCTGTAGTCCTAGCTACTCCAGAGGCTGTGATCTGAAGTTGGCAGTTGGAAGCCAGCCTGGGCAGACGAGTCCCCAAGAGACTCTTATCTCCAATTAGCCATTCAAAAAACAGAAATGGTGCTATGGCTCCAATGGTAGAGCACTATCCAGGAGCACAAAGAGGCTCAGAAACAGTGCCCAGGCCCTGAGTTCAAGCCCCACAACCAACAAAAAGAAAAGAAAAATAATTTGCTACAAACATATGAGTTGATGTCATGTTCTTTGATATAAATACATATGTTGATATTATGATTCTTGATGTTCTGTTAGCTATCTATCTATCTATCTATCATCCTCAAAGAGCTTTGCTTTGTGGACTATCCACTTGGCAGAAGCATGAGCACATGGTCCATTGGCATGAGCTCCGATGTAGTGATCAGGAACTCCTCTCATTTTCTCCAATCTGGGAATCAACAGAGGCCTGAAAGCCTGACACTGGATTCCAAACCACCCAGGATAGCACTGTCGGCATCTACAAATGGATCTTTGCTGTCTGGGTTTGAGCTAGCCAGGAAGACTGCTTTACACAGGCTGCTGGCTACTATATAGACTATCTTCAGAATCTGCAGATTTTGTTCCTGTACTGTGTCAAGTGTCAGGTGGGGGGACTGATAAGAGGGGCCTCTTCTCACACAAAAACAAGATGGGTTTTAACCCATATTGTGGTGCCACGCAGTCTCCTGCCCCATCAATATGTGTTAATAATCTGAAGACAAATGGACAACAGCTATCTGAAAATCAGGATTATCTGGATCCTAGATCCTGAACACAGAAGTCTTTCTTCAGGAGCATTTTGTACCTAAGGAAATAATATGAGTCATGGGGTGTTTACCACAGGGCACCAGCATGGAACCTGTATAAGATCAGTTCCTCCTTTAAGCAAAATTACCAGCTTATTGTGTCTCAAAGTCACAGAGACCTTGAGTATTCTGCCTGGTAAACCCAACCATGTGTATTTATGTTGCTGAGCCATGGCTTTACTTTTCTAGAACATTCATTGCACCTTCTTGGGGTTTAAGAAAAACCAAGTGAGGAGCTGAGGGGCTCCTGTGCCACCTCTCCTTCTTTGAGTCTCTCCTTTGTCCTTCATAGATTTCCTCATGTTGCTGTCCAAAGTGGCCAAAATATGTCCCCTAGTTATTGCCAAAACATACAGGTGACTCAAGGTCAAACTCTGGCAGACAGGGCGGCTATTGTTCTGTACACATTCCTGATCTAAATCAAGGCAAAACTTGGCCTGGATGGGCCTGAAATTGGGTCAAGGTATGGCCAAGAGGCTGATGTTTCCCTGGGATGATGTGGACCCCTGTATTAAAACAGCCTCTTCCTCCCAGTTCCTGTGTTCCATTGAGATCTCTGAAACAACTCGGCCAGAGTTGCTTAGATTATTTTCCCATCCTTTTGTGTGGACATTGTGCCTCCTATTTTTCACTTTCTGGGAAATTTGCCAGTTTTTCAAGGACTAGGTAAAGAACAAAATAAATATTTGTAGGTGGTTTAAGAGGAGAATAAATATGTTGAATTGAAGTCTGCCTGGGGGGTGGTGGGGAAGCATTTTAATTGTCTTTCAGAGGTTTTGAAGTAATTAACTAGAGAAATTCAGAAGGTTGAAGTTACTAGGTTGTTTATTTGGTTTTTTTTTTCAAATTTGTGATCAAGATGTGAGGGTGTGGTGGGGGAGGGGAGGAGTCAGAAAGTAAAGGGGAGTTAGTGAAAACTTAAAAAAAAAAAAAAAATCCAAGCAAAGAGACTGAAATCCCCTGTGTGGAAATCACAAAACCTCTTCATAGATGTTAACGGGTGCCTAAAAAGTTAGTGCAGGGGCAGGGAAGTGTTTATTTGACATCCTTCAGAAGTTTTTGTGGTGGTTCTTTCGAAAAACATGTTTAGAGGCCTTTCTGTGAGCGCGTGAAGGTTCTGCTGTTTGCTCTTTATGAATAGGTAGATCCGCTGATTAGGAAGGCTCCTTTGGGCTCCTGAGATTAAAGAGGGCAGGGCCCTGGCTTGCTGCGAAGGTTCCTGTCCCTAATCATGTGTGAAGTGCTTTCCTTCCTCGCTGGGTTTTCAGCTCAGCGAGGAAGGAAAATGCAGCCCCCGGGGAGGGAAGCAGGCTGGCCGGGTCCTGGTTAGGACTGGTCGGTCACCTGTTGGGGCCTCCCAGGGAGCGCGCGCGCGCACGCGTGCCGGGCGCTGGGGACCGCCAGGGCGCAGGGACAGCCGCCACCTCTGGGGGCCCTGGAATTCTCAAGTCCCCAGGGACCGATCGGTGGGTGGACGGACAGTCCAAGGGACCGAAGGACGGCAGGACGGAGCCGAGCGAGGCCCCAGCGCTGGAATGCAGTTTTCTCAAGCGAGGCAGACTTTGCCCCGGAGTGGTTGACTAGTTTGGGGTGGGGTTTCCAGGGTCCCCTCCTCTCCACTCCTCCCCCCCCCCCCCCACCTCTACCCCCAGGCCCCTTCGAGGCGCTTTCTGGGAGCTTTCAGAACTGTGCTCTGAAGTTTCCAAAGACAGACAGAAGAGCCTGGGCGGCCGGCAGGGACAATGGAAGAAAATGAAAGCCAGAAATGTGAGCCGAGCCTGCCTTCCCCGGCAGACAGCAGAGCGATTCAGGGTGAGTAACTGAGCCACTCAGAGCTGGACTTAGAGGGACGCGTGTCCCTCCCTGCGTGGCTCTGCTTTTTATAATCTAGCGACCAGGCGCCTGGCACAGGCAAAAAAAAAAAAGTCTCTTTCTTGGAGTGAGAAGAAAAGGAGTGAGAAGAGCTGAGATTTCTTGGACTTCACTTTATCTCTGCAAAGATTTTCTTAAGTAGCAAAAGAGATGGTTGGGTGTTGGCACATTGGTAGCCCAATGAGCCTGCAGTGTGTGCGCTATCTCTAGTCTATGACAAATAAAGCCCTAAGCAGCTTCTTAATAATCTCCCTCCTCCCCCCCCCCCCCCATCCCCATGCAGTATGAGCCGCAGAAGGACTGGTTTGGGTGAAATTGTCTCTGGAGAGTCCGCTTTTCCATTCATTGGTTGGGGGGAGTTGAACGTGAGTTGCAGTTTTGTTTTTTTTTTTCCTTTTTAGTTAAATCACAGAGTTTACAGATGTTTTATTCTTGAGATTAGAACGGGTTGGGTTACTTGCTTTTCTATGGGGGAGATGGAGCCTTCTTCGCGTTTTCATTCAAAACTTTCAGCATTAAGGAGGCAATTTCAATACTGTTTTCTCCGCCAGTTTCCTTTTCATTGTGTGTTTATAATAGACTTGTCTTTTCCGTAGGGAATTTCCAGAAGCTTAGGTTGTTCCAAAGAAATTGTGCAAGGAGGGGGTGGGGGCTGGGGGGGGGTTCCCTGTCCCTGTAGGGTCTGACATTTGGGATACCAAAGCTTATACGCCAAAGCCCATACAGGATGGGCAGAGCATTCGCCCACCACTGCTCCTTCAACACGGAGGCCTCCCCATCTCCCCATCCTTTCCCAGGTTCAGCCAGGGGCCAGCTAGTAACACAAAGATGTGCAGGAGTGCAAGGCTGTGTGTGGGAGTGAGGATTATACCCAAGGGAAAAGGTGTGTGTGTGTGTGTGTGTGTGTGTGTGTGTGTGTGTGTGTGTGTGAATGCAAAAAGGGAAGTAGCACATGACTCATGAAAATGCAAAACTAAGACAGCAGAAAGTACCAGGATGAGAGAGAAATTCCCAGCAAAACTCAGGAAAGCTTAAGCTCCCTGACCATAGAAAAGACACCATGGGGTCTGCTTGTCTATCTGTTCTTGAAAGCAGAGCACTGTTAGAGGGCCCCCAGGATCTGTGGGGTCCAGGAGACAAGAAGCACCTCTTCTTCACACACTGTAGGGTCCCTGTACTTTGATGAGTGAGACCAGGTCATACTTTAGGAATTTAACTACTGCAGCCTCCCCTGAAAGGAATACCTCAGATTCTAGAGGGAGCAATTAGAAGAGGAGCAATTTAAGAAATGGCTTTCAAACAAGTCATTGATCTTCCTTCACTTATTTATTCATCCAGAAAATTTTGAGCTTCTGTTGCATAGCAGTTGCTATCTGAGCTGTTGAGGGCTCCAGCAATTTGCAAAGGCAGACTTAAGAAATATTTGCTTTCATTCTATATTCATATTCGAAGGACCAAATTGGGGTGGGATGGTAGAAGCCAACAATATACAAATAAAGAAAATTCAGCAAGGAGTTGGTGTCTCACACCTATAATTATAGCTACTCAGGAGGCTTAGATTTGAGAACTAAGGTTCAAAGCCAGCCCAGGCAGAAAAGTCCATGCAAGTCTTATCTCCAATTAACCAGCAAAAAGCTGGAAGTGGCACTATGGCTGAAGTGGTAGTTTGTTTGTTTGTTGTTTTTTGTTTTGCCTTGAGCAAAAAAGCTAAGAGAGAGTGAAAGGCCCTGAGTACAAAACCCAGTGCCAATACAAATATAAATAAAATAAACAAAATGTAGAGCATATTACGTTCAGGTATGTCAGATTAAGCAAATAAAAATACAAAATACCCAGGTTGATTTAAATTTCAAATAAATTATTTAACATAAATATATGCCAAATATTACTTAGGATATACTTTTCCAAAAGAACAATTCATTATGTACCTGAAATTCACATTTTACTTGATGTCATATATATATATATAATATATCTGTATCTATCTATCTATATATATGGTAGAAGATGGGAGGAAAAGATGTTCAGGGTATAATCCCAGAGCAGGTGTCAGGTTTTGCTTTTATTTCAATAGAGATAAGGAGCTGCTATCAGGGACTTGTCTTTAATTATAGGTAATTAATTAATTTTGCACTAGGAATAGGACCTAGAGCCTCAGTTATGTTTGTCAAGGGCCCTACCACTGAGCACCTGAACCTGTTCTCAAAGATGACTCTGGGTAACAGATGCAGCATAACCCAAGTGGGACTGAGGGATGGGCAGGGAGGCCTCTTTGGAAGGTTTAGAAGAAAAACAGGCATGGGACAGGGCTAGTATGGGCCAGATGGTGAATAGCAGGTTTTGACAAGAAGTTAGTTTCTAGATATAAATGGAAAGCTCAAGTCAAAAGAATTGGCTCACCAGGTCTTTGTGGCTCACACCTGTAATCCTAGCTACTCAGTAGTCTGAGATCTGAAGGTCATAGTTCAAAACCAGCCAGGGCAGGAAAGTCTGTGAGACTTATCTCTATTAACCAAAAAGGCCGGAAGTGAAGTTGTGGCTCAAGTGATAGAGCACTAGCCTTGAACACAAAAGCTTAGGGACAGCATCCAGGTCATGAGTTCAAGCCTCAGAATTTGCAGAAGAAAACAAAAAGAAAATAATTTTTTTTTTTTAAGATATGAGGGCTTAGTAGTAGAGTGCTTATTAGTAGAGTGGCTTAGTAGTAGAGTGCTTGTCTAGCATGCATGAGGCCCTGGTTCAATTCCCTGCTACCACATAAATAATTTTTTTTAAAAAGATTAAGGTCTGGGAAGTTGGCTCAGTGGTAGAGTGCTTGCCTTGCATGCATGAGGCCCTGGGTTCAATTCCTCAGCACCATATAAACAGAAAAATCCATAAGTGGCACTGTGGGTTAAGTGGTGAGCGCTAGCCTTGAGCTGAAGAGCTGAGGGACAGGGCCCAAGCCCAGAGTTCAGGCCCCACTACCAGTTAAAAAAAGAAATTGAGTATGAGAAAAAGAAGGGTCAGGATAATACGTTTTTTGTTTTATTTTGATCCAGGAGGTTGGAAGATTGAAAAGCATTTCACAGCATGTATGAAGCTTGAGAAGTTTATCAGGTGTCAAGAGATATTGACTCTAATCTGGATATTGATGACTGGAGTTGAGAAAGGACTAGGGGTTGTGAGAAATGTCCTGGGACTGGATCTGACTACAGAAGTACAAGCCTAAGTCACCTCAGCATTTAGAGACTAAGGAGATTGGGATGGGCTAACTGGAAAGATTACAAGTCCCAGTTAGAGTTTCAGAACAGGAATTCTGGATGAATATGATGCTTCAAGGAACTTGGTTTCACTCTGGTCAGCCTGAGGTCTGTAATCAAGGAGCATCAATGAGGCCAGCATCACCCATAATGCCTCATGTACCATTGTCCTTAGCCTGTGCATCCCTTTCACCCAATCACAGTGTGACATTTCAAGGAAAGGACCACAACTCATTCACCCTTGTGTTCCCAGCACCTTACAGAGCACCAGGCATATAAAAGGCATTCCACAAAAACATTTGTTAAATAAAGGCTATTGATACTTTGAGTTAATTGATCTATTATAGATAAGGATCCCTGGGGTGATCATGTAACTCATGGAGAGGGGGAAACCCTGGAGAGTGAAAGAGAACAGTATGAATAATTTCACTGGGCAACAGTTGTCACCCAGAGCTGTTTGGGCCAGCTGGTATATATGACTCCCCAACAAGAGTTCTAATAGAACTCTAAGAGTTCCATAGCTAGTTCATGGATAACCACAGAAGTGTACCACCTTGGTGCATTTGGCAATTATTTGTGGATTTGGAATCTGACTCCTGTTCCCTTTCAAGGCCTTGGGCACCTGAGTGTGGTTCTGGGGAATGAGCCTTCCTTGGGATGCCTCGGTCTGCCCTCTTAAGTGTGGACTTTTGCCCTGGCCCCTAAGGTCTTGAAAGCTCTGTGCAGGTGGTTGTCCAGCTGCCTGCTTCCCCACGCCCTGTCTAGTGTCCTCCCAGCCCAGAGAATGACAGACATGCAGGTCTGTGCTCTAAAATAGCCTCATCCTTTGCTATCCCCTTGTTCTGTCTTATTCAGCAAAGCACTTGTCACCACCTGACATTTCGATTGTGCATTATTTGTTTGTAGTCTGCTTCTAATTAACAAGTAGACTTCTCAATGATGAAAGGGAATTTGTTTTGTTTTGTTGGAGACAGGTTCTCACTATTCATCCCGAGCTAGCCTGGAACTCCCTATTTAAACAGTCAAGCCTTGACTCTCTTTCCTCCTGTCTGTGTTCATTTCTTTTCCTTCCCCTTCCCCTTTTCCCTTCCCTTTCCTCTTCTTTACTTTTCCTTTCCTTCCCTTCCCTTCCCTTTCCTCTTTCTTTCCCTCCTCTCCTCCTTCCCTTACCCCTCCCCCCTTTCCCTTCTGCTTCTCGTTTTCCCACTACTGAGGCTTGAACTTAGGGCTTCCATCTCTCTACTTTTTCCACTCATGGCTGGCACTCTACCACTTGAGCCACACCTCTAGTTCCAGTTTTTTTTATGCTTAATTGGAGATAAGAGTCTCAAAAGTTTGTCTGCCCTAGCTGGCTCCAAATCTAGAGATCTCAGCCTCCTGAGTAGCTAAGTAGCCACCAGCACTTGGCAGCTCCAAAGTTCTCGAGTGCTGGGATTACCGGCATATACTACCACCATCAGAGTTGAGTCTACCTTGATCATAATCCCACCACTCTGTCTCCTAACTCTTTCAGTGGATGGAGCAGACACTCCATAAATATTTGTGTCAATGAATGAATGGGTCAATCAACTTTAATCAATACTTGCCATACAAGAATGGTTTTCTAGGTAGGGGTGAGACTTCTGTTTTATTTAAGTTCTATACTAGGAATTGTTTCCTTTATTAATTTCAGTTTTTAAGCTGAGAGGGATGTAATGG